TTGGTGCTTTCTCCCCATCGGTCCTTACCTATCGATCCCTGTGGTGTTGCCGGCGTGGACGATTCTGTGCCGCCCTCTTTGCCCGGTCGTGCTGGTTTACCGCTTCCGACATAGTTCGGTGCTGTGGCCTCACTGTCGGCATTCTCAGGATTTCTACTTTCGGCGTGTTCGCTAGGCTCCATGCATTCTCCACCTTCCTTCGCGCATTGCACTGCGGCTGTCTTTACTTCCTCAACTATGAGCTTCAGGTCTTTGCTTAGTGTCTGTATAGCTTCTTTCTCCTTTTCCCTCAGTTCTGTGTTGTCATGCATGGTATGTGTACCCGGTGTTACCCTGTCAAGTTCTGCTAAGCTTTTCCTACATATGCTTTCTATGTTTTGCCCTGAAAATTTTTCATTCAAGCTCGGGTTTTGCTCTAACCAGTCCTTAATTTCCTTGCCCATATCCCACTCTGACGCTTTTATGTTTTCAAACACTCCCTGCCCGCATTTACCTTTGGTTATTAAACCACCTCCTTGCGGTTTCTCCAGCTCTTTCACAGTGTGCCATGCATAATATACACCCATTTCACTTCTGCATGGAGATGCCAGCAATATGTACATAAATCTATTTACTATTGCGCACCTTATATGTTCCTTCAACGCTTCACTAGTAGTGTCTTTATGGTCCGTTCTTTCGGACTGTGTACCCCACCCATTCATGAAATTTAATGCTGCTGACATGAGTGTGCACATAATTCTGTCTCCCACGTTAGCTACGATCGGTCTCTTTCCCTTGGGCGGATATGTGTAACCCTGGTTTAAACAATTAGCTGCATATAGCTCCACAATAGGATCGTCCAAATGTTTCATAAACTTCCCCAGTTGTGCCTCTATATCCTTCCATAAACTTCTCTGCATTGTGCACAAGGAACATAGTTGTGTGTGCATAATGGACCACTGCACCTCTCTCGTCCATATTCATATGTGCCCATGCCTTTGTGAGTGCTGCACGTACTCTACGTTCCCATTGTATTCTTTATATGGAATTAGTGCAGCGCCGCATTCGTACAATGATATATACAGGCAAGTATGCATACTATCATATATAGAGGCGGTTATAATTACACTACGCCCCGCGGTCTTAATCTTAATAAATTACCGTATAATGCTCCGGTTTATCCACTAGTCCCCGTTTGAGCACATATTGTGCTAATAAATATCCCAACTTCGCATACGTCATATTGTCACAAGCATAAACCAATATAATGAAACGAATGATATCATTATCTCTCAGATAACGGCTTGAGTATAATATCGGCACAATATTCTATTACGTATTATTCAGATTTTTCGCGAATGAAACATGTCTTCCTAGTATAGGGTGCCTGCGGAAACATGTCCCATGAACAAATTCTCCCCTATCTGAATTTAATCACACATCGCATAAATCGTGGGGTGTGGAAGAAGCAAAACAAGAAATGAAAAATGGGGAACAAAGCAAGGAAAAAATAGAAAAAGGTACACTACTAGTACCACTACACACAACACGCGTCATGAATAACGCCCTTACTGCACCGGTTTACACTAAAGCCGCAGTAACAACAACATCAATTTCTGCTGCCGTCGTTGCCTCGTCCTCGTAAACATTGTGCGCGCGTGTAAGAAGGAGGAGGATTGTCTCTCCGAGCAACGCATCGACCAACGCGGCCGGGTAAAGCAGATTGCCACCGAGTGAACGTATTTGACGACGTAGCCGAGTAGGACGAATTGTCTCCCAGTCAGGATCGCGAGCGTGAGCAGAGAGCGGGGAAGTAGAAGGACGGGACACACATATTTTGTGGGACGGCCAACAAGGGCGGCAAAGAAGGCGACAACGACGGTAGCAACAACGGCAGAAGCATTGATGTTGTTGTTATACTCCGGTTTTTAGTGTACAAGGGGTTTAAGTGTACGCACACAGAGACAACGTGTGTGAAGGCGTTTAGTGGAGAACGGGTGTAGTCAGTGAGCGGGGTGTTATTCATGACGCGTTGCGCGTACTATTTTTTCTATTTTTTCCTCTCCTTTCTTTTTGTCTTTAGTATTGTTTTCTTCGTTACCCTATTTATTCTTCTTTTTTTTCCTTTTTTCTTCTTCACAGGGGGGATATTGTTCATGTGTGAAAGAGAGAGAGAGTCTTCTCTATTTTGTGTAGAAGATGTTGTTATAAGTTTGTAGGAATATGTTGTTTGTTTGCTCTCCTTTTTTTGTTTGTCTTTTCTTTTTTTTTCTTTTTTTTATTTGTTTTATTTATTTGTTATTTATCTTCTTACTTTCCGTGTTATTCATTATTTGCGCTTGCGAGGCTCCCAATTCCTAGTGTAACTATAAGGATTGTATATGTGTGCATAGGTTATATAAACGGATACATACCCCTTCTTTTCATGTGGACGGTACAGTTATATTTACGGCGGATGCTAATGCGTACAGGAGACGCAGCAATTTATAGCGTAAACAACAAGTTCTGAGCGATGCACTGTTTCCACCTACGGACCACGCTATAGTGATGCAAGGGTAATTCAGATGTCCACGTTATGATCATAGATGACAATGGCGGAAACGTTAGGGCATATATTAGCCAATTATGCGAGCGTAAGGAGTCTAACGAAGGATACACAAGGATATATGGTAATTGATTGTGAGGGCAAAATGGAGTGAGCAGGCGCCTACACATATATATAGGTGGTCGATAGGCAGGGTACGCAGTTTGCAACATACATATGTTCACATTTCGTGCACGGGAAATCATATGCCCCATGTGAACATACCATCCGTGGTCCAACATGTAGCATAGCCGCGACTGGCGCGAGTATCTTCGGTGCAGACAACAAAATGACATATATGTACATGCCGCCGCATTACTCCAATTGCAGAAAAGTTTATGGCAGGATATGCAACACCAACTGCAGATTTTTATTACGCATATGAACAATGACAGTGAGTACCACAATGCTACTAACTGTCAGAATGCATACTGGGAGCATCCAGCAGAAGATGGCAAGACACACCAACAACCAAGGGAGATGACCAGGCGAACAGAAAGAGTTATATGCAGACTCATGACGCAAGCGATATACTTTGCAAATGCGTGGAGTCCAGAAGTAAGGGAGAACGCACAGGAGATAGACGGCAGGGATAAGGAAATAAAGGGAATAATGAGATGCACGATTGTGGATGTATATAACGACATACTCAGGACATATGGATGCGAGGGTTGGTGGGGTACATACTACGCCTGGTACACAACAGGGATAATTTGGCATGAGTTAGGGGCAACATTGGGGGAAAACCATTGTAAGCGCGGTATGTATCAGGAAATCGAATTAGGGCACTGGCCAATGAGGCAGCAGATGAACACCTGGCTACAGCAGAATCCACGCATGCAGAAGAAACTTCATGACGAGAAAATAAGCCATGGGTGTACGGGAAGGAAGGTAAAGACTAGGAAACAACTGCAAGAGGAAGGAGTTGAACAGGACCAAGCGGCTGAACAGAAGAGGGATGACGCAATGAAACACACAGTGAAGCAGCACGCAGACAACATTTTGGGCGAGGTTCAGAAAGACATGGAGAAGGAGGAGAAACAATTGAGGGCGTCAACTGACCCAGCACCCACGTACCCTTCTGGGGCAGAGGCACACGATCAAAAGGCTGCCGCGATAGAGAACGCAATGGAACAAGCAATCGCGCACGTGAAAGAAGAATTAAAAAAAGTGATCGCGGAGACTGCCGATGCACGACCCGCCGCAGCCAAAGCAGCAGCGGCGACACCGGCATCAACAGCGGTAGGAACGACACCGGCAGGTAAGGACCGATGGGGATAAAGCACGAATGCGCCTGCACACGAAAATGGCCGAATACGAATAATGGGCTTCTACGGATACGACTGCGGATGGATGCTGCCAACAACAGCACACACAACAACGCACGCGGCGGACGGCAAAGCACAGCACCCCCTCGTTGAGCCGACATGGGCGGCCACGACGGCAGCGATGGGCCAGCCGCTGGATGTGGACGTCGACGTCGACAGACACACACACACTGTGTGTGTGTGTTGTGTTGTGAGTGTTGTGTGGGCGCGAGAGAGAGACTTTTCCAGGGGTGGGACCGGCCGCGGTCTCCCGTGCGTCTCATACTCCGCCATAACCCACCGTCCGCACCGTGGCAAACCATGAGAGATGGACCGTGGTGCCCAACGTATACACGACCGAGCATGGCGAGGCCATCAGCGCCGGTATATGTGGTCAAGCAACAACGAGGGACCGTGGCTAACCGTCAACCGTAAGCGTCCACCGTACAATACTTCAGTTTAATCATCTTCACTTTTCTGTGTGTCGATGTAGGAGCACAAGGACCGCAAAATGTACCAGCACAGACGGACCAGAACCTGGCGCCCCCCGTAGGAGCGCCGCCAGCCGCAGAAGCGACCGATGCGGGAGCACCGAACGCAGAACCAGAACCAGTTTCATCATCCTCATCAAGTGCGGAAGCAGGGGGAAGAACAGCTGATCGTTCCCCTGCTGACAACAGTCAGAACGACGCAGTTCAGACGAATCCATCGTCTCCTTCTTCTATGCATGAGAACGGTGCACCCGGCCCTTCCGGTTCAACAGGTGAAAACGAAGAGGCCGGGAAAAGTAGTGGGGATGGAAGCGGACCCGCAGATGGCGGAGTTGGTCGTGCACAATGGCAAGCTCCCCAAATTGACTTTAATTTACCTAAATCTGGGCGCAATGAACTGCACGGACATTATGGATCTGCTCATACACCAAGTATAAAAGATATAACTTCTGCTACTGGGACAGATGACCCCAACAAAAGGGATGACGGAATCATCCCCCCCATCTTCACTGCAAAGGACATCTTCCTTTCTTCTCCTGTTCTTATCTTCTTTGCATCGGTCACTTCCTTTATCCTGCTCTTTTTTCTTGGCAAAGTAAGCAAACAAGCTCACGCACGCAACACACAACGCACAACGCACACAAGCACGCACGAATATAACAGAGTGAACACCGTATATGCGTATCCGTAATATGTACCATAGAAAAATGTGTTCCTAAGGGGGCTGTTCTATCATCATTCTAACACAAATGTACTCCTACATCGTCCTCGTTCTTTTTTTTTTTTGTGTAGTACTTTGCGCACCTCGCCAAACGACGACGAACATATCGCACCGTTCGGCACGTGCCGTCACCGCCACTCGACGAAGAAATACTAGACCATCTACAACGCGGCGAACGCCCCCCACCCGATTACGGGTACACCATGGTTACGGATACGCAGCCCGGCAGATTGCCCGCCGCCCGACGACGATCTCATCCACGCGTGCATACGCGCACCATCATCGAGCTACATCTAGAAGTGCTCAACGAATGTGAAGCGACGGAATGGGACAGGGTGAAAGACGACTATTGGAAGATTGTCGTTGAAGAGTTTGCGCAGGATATGATACAGGACGAGGCCACGAATAACAGTATCTTGGATGTGTCCATCTCAGACCAAGATCCTCGAGGGATAAATGTTTCGTCCACTGACTCCAAAGGAACAGATCCGTGTCCAGATGGTGACCCCGATCCATGGAATTGTATGGAATCCATACAGTTAGCAACGGACCCATGTCCACCGAATGAAGACGACCCCGATCCATGGAGTTGTATGGAAACTATACGGTTACCAACGCACACTTCTCCACCTACCGAAGATAAGCCCGATCCTTGGAGTTGTATGGAAACCATGCAGTTAGATGCACAACAGAGTCGTGCTCATTCCAACCACAGGGACGCGACGTCGTACTGCACCCAATGGATTAACTGGATTGACCGCAACAAGCACCTATTGCAGGAATGCACGACGCAGCCGTGGTTTTTGCAATTAAAAGCGGATTGGACACAATTCCTGCGTGATCACATGATGGCACACGCAGCATCCGGTGAGCACAGGAAAGCCGCATTCATGGACAGCAAGAAGCACGCATGGAAACAGTGGATAGCGCAACAACATCGGCAAATGAGTATGTATAACGCGGAGGAGAGGTTTCAGCATTTGTTGCATACTGTAGAGGACGAGACAGTGACGGCAACAGGCGATATACACGGAGTGGAAAAAGTAATGGCCGCAGAACATGTTCTAAGAGTGAGGGATGCACCACGCATGCAACTGCATCCGCAACCTTACATGAAACAACCGTTAACCGCTGAAACATGGATACTGATCCTGGCATTCGTCATAGAAGAGAGCGAAGTCGAACGCAGTTTGCAGGAGAACGAGTTATATGTGGATGATCTATTGCACCAGCTCTGACATTCGCCTGACGGCACATATGAATGGGCAATAACGCCTGCTGACCGTACAACACTTTTATTTCATTATGTGATATACATAATATATTTCTTGTTTTTACTATTCTATACCGTCTTTTTTTTTCTGCTCTGTTCTGCTTGTGCTTACTTTTGCCTTGTTCTGTTCTTTTTCTGTGTAGTCAACTTCTTTTAACATGACCATAGGAACAGGTGCGTACCGGTTAAATGCATATAAAATGTACATTTAAATGAATAATATGACGGGGTGGTATTCTCCTTTATGTGAAATTAATTATTAAAAGCTGCGCACGTGCATTCTAAGGGTATCGTGCAGAACACATATAGCATGCGCATACGCATTCGAGTATAAGGAGAGATTGTCTCTCCGCGCAAACGTGGCCGCGTAAACCGCATTGTCCTCGCGTGCAAGCAGGAGGCGCGCTTGTCTCTCCGAGCAAGCGCGCCGACCAACGTGGCCGCGTAAACACGACTGTCCGAGTGACGCAGTTCGACGACGTAGCCGCGTGTAAGAAAGGAGGCACAGATTGTCTCTCCGAGCAAACGTGGCCGATTCGACGAAGTAGCCGAGCACACGTGGCCGAGTAAGGGGTATTGGATGACGTGGCCGAGTGAAGCGGTTCGATTACGGCGTTCGAGTAAACGATTCAACCAAGTAGCCCCGGGACGGACGGCAGCAACGACGGCAGCAGACTTTGATGTTGTTATTACTGCGGTTTGTACGTGTACGCACACAGAGACACAGTGTGTGTGACAGGCGTTTAGTGGAGACCGGTGTAGAAACGGGGGCAGTTTATATTCATGACGCGTTGCGTGTGAACGGTAGTGTAGTAGAAGTTTTTTTGTTTCATTTTTCTCTTCATTTTTGTACTCCTTTTTTATTCTGTGCATAGAATTGTTTCCTAAACAATATCAGAATAGTATACACAGGTGGTGTACTGTGCAATGCCGTATTGTGCATTTGCCTTATATGAATTCTGTGTGAGCACATTTCGCCCCACTCATATAGTACTAAAAATATTCATGAGGCACAAGTGTGTATAGTATCAGGGCGGCATATGTGTAATATGCATAATATTCTCAAGTAGCATTAATATCCTGTATTATGGCACGTAATGCACCATGGCAGAGCACTTAGTACATGTAATGGCCGAATGGGTAAAGCGACGGGGACTATGGGAACAGGAACAGGTTGATGTAAGTATTAACTCAGAACAAGGGATTGCACGACGCAGAGAACAAGGGCGGCGTAGACTAGTGTTGGTACATATATGTGCGGTAACACATACGGCAGGGAAGGTAGAGTCCTATAGAGTTGATATATTGTTATACATTAATTATTTTCTCTATGTATGTATTTCGTAGCGTGCATTATGGGCAGATATGCAGAATGTGTTACAAGAATTCGTGGATTACATGGAAGAGATAAAGGAAAGCTTAGAGGACTATGCCACAAGCTGTGGGGATACAGGTTGGGAACGTAGAGGACAAAAGCATAAGGGACAATTGTACACCGGACACACAGTTGCGGACAAGATGAAATGCAGCCTGATGGTTGGAGCATTATATTTTGTAACTGCGTGGGGCACTCCTATGAACCATGATAACGCAACATCGGAAAATGATAAGGACATGAAGGCTATTATGCGGTGTATGCTGGCCAATGTTTTTGCGTATATATTGGCTGAAATAAAGTGTAGAGATGAGTGGCCTGCAATAGATCAAGCTTGGAGGATACTGAAAAACATGGGAGGAACTGGTGGATTCGAGAATTCAATTTCAGATGGAACATGTACACTGGATGCGTATAAGAATACAAAGGTAGGAACAGCGGATTTAGAGGGGGCGGTAAAAGACTGGTTAAAGCACAGTCCAAATATACGTGATAGTATAAACGCAATACAGAAGAACCCACAATGCAACATAAAATGGGTAACGTACAAGAAAAGTTTGGCACACAGCGAAAACGATGCATTAGCACGAACCAGAGGGAAAGTGGGTCAGGTGGAAGGTGCCATGGCTAATGGTGGCATTGGAAATGAAATAGTGACAGTGATGAAGGAAGTATTTGTCAAGATGAAGGAAGACGTAACACAAAAATCCAAGTCACCGCCAGAGCCAGCAGTAGTTTCTACGGGCAGTGAAAACAAAGAGACAGGTAAATAGCAGGAATAAAAAGAGAAGAAGCAGAGAAACAGAGGAATTCTACAAGAAAGGAGAACGACGACGACAAGGGGCAAAAGAAAGAAAAGAAAAAACAACAACAACAATGTGCACGAGGCACGCAGAACATGTCCAGTTCTGCATCCGTCCAAGAATGCCCAAAGCACATACTGACACTTCTAATTCCCATTTTTGCCCTTTATTGCAGCGAAGGATGGCAAAAACGGACAAGCCGCCACCACGGCGGCAACACCAGGGGATCCGACAGGTAACACCGCTGGGTGCAGCAGACATACCAATACGAATATACGGCCGCACACGAACACGGCCGAATACGCATACGCGGCGCGCATGTAGACCGTACAACTCCGCACGCATGGCACGGCCAAATACGGATATGCGGCGGCACAGCAGCACCCCCTCGTTAAGCTCACGTGTGCAGTCACGCCGGCAGCGGTAGCGGTAGCGGCTACCACTGTGTAGACGAGTGCAGACGAGGTTTGTGTGTGCTGCGATGACCAGTGTAGCGGCCGCACAGTGGTGCGACAGTGGTGTGACGATGGTGAGTGGGGATGGAGCGGCGACGAGTGTAGAGCCTACGGGATTTATGGATACGGACTTATATGTGGATAGTTTGTTAGAACATTTTTGCGATATTAAAGAAGGAGTGTATACATCGTTCCCGTGACAAACTCTGCCATAATAGATATTGCTATGACACATGTCGTACTGATACGTATCGTAGGCCTCCCTGAAGCCTCAGTTTTATTAAAGGATCTGGCTGGTGCTACTACATCTTGATCCGTAGTTGTTATATATTTTTCGTACTCACATATACCAGA